ACTTGCCTTATTTGCTGGGTGTGGTGGTATTTGCCTGTAATACCAGCTACTGTAGGGGCTGAGGCAGGAGGATCACAAGTTCAAGGCCAGCTCGGGTAATTTAGGGTGACTGTCTCAAAATAGAGAGTACTTGCCTAGCATGTGGGTTGGAGGCACTGGTTCAGCTCTAGCACCAGAAAAACAAAACTTACCGTGCTCTGTCTTAGGCTCTGGGGTACTGAGCTTCCTCTAACCCTGGTGAGCTTCTGGGACTGGTTGAGTGAGGCCTGCAACTAACATTCTGCTTTTCTTTTTCATTCTGGCCTATTTGGCCTTTCTACTCAAGAAGATTGATGGTGCTGGAAGTCAACTTCAGTCATCTGATGGAAAGGATGTGCTTTGATGATTTCTACAGGGCCCTCATTTTTCACCTTTTATTTTTTCCTTTCCTTCAGAGATAATCTGGCAGGTGTCAGAGTGTTTTCCTCCTGTCGACTGATCTCTCGTCACTTCAGTGAAATGACTGACTGAAATAGCTTCCATACAAGCAGGCAGTTCTAGTTTTGCTTTTGTTTCTCTTCCCTGGGCAAATAGGCAGGTCTTAAGAGACCAGCTAGGCATGCTGTTTACTGAATGTTTTGGCCAGTCTAGTGGTTTGGGGAGAGGAAGCTGACAGATGATGATGTCAACATCTGCCTTCTCTGGCTTTTAACTTTAAATGACACTGACTGGCTCCTAGGTCAAGTGTGAAGTGAAGGCCATGGTTTACTGTGTTTGTGGGGATGATTGATGGGGAGGGGTAGGCTTGGAGAATCAGGGGACAGGCAACCGCCCTTTCTTCTTGAAAATAATTTATAAAGGGAAGAGTGGCAATGTTTTAGAACAGATGGCAGCAGTTGAAGATCAGGAGAGGAGCTGGCTGGGGTGCAGGGTGCATGATTGGGTTGCCTACTGTTGTCTTATGTTCTTTTTTTTTTTTTTTTAAGAGAGAGGGAGAGAGAGAGAATTTTAATATTTATTTTTTAGTATTTGGCGGACACAACATCTTTGTTTGTATGTGGTGCTGAGGATTGAACCCGGGCCGCACGCATGCCAGGCGAGCGCGCTACTGCTTGAGCCACATCCCCAGCCCTTGTCTTATGTTTTTAAGGATGAGAAAACAATCTAGTTCTCTAGTTAAAAGCTCAATTTCCTTTTTTGTATTATTATTATTATTATTATTATTATTATTATTTGAGTTTTGGGAATTGATCCCAGCGGATCCTGTGCATGCTGGCAAGCACTCTATCACTGAACTACATCCCCAGCCCTTTATATTTTGAGACAGTTTCTCACTAAGTTGCTGAGGCTGGCCTCAGACTTGGGATCCTACTGTCTCAGACGCCTGAGAAGCTGGGATTATGGGTGTGTGCCACTGTGCCCAGCCCAGTTACCTTCTGTTGTCCTTCCCTTCTCTCCCAATGCTCCACCCTACCCTTTATTCCTGTCCCTGGCACTTATCTTTCTGTATATAGTGTAGAAACAGACCCTTGACACCCCCTGGATGGATTGTTGGCCTTCTGACAGGAATTCAGAGTCATTTTTCTTCTGGTTTTGACCCAGTTTTCTAATAACCAGCATGTGATTTGTGTTAACCCCAGCACACCTCCTGACAAGGACAGCTGTGTGTTTGAGTCCCAAGCTCTCAGGTGCTGTCAACCTACATCATGGATATCCTGGAGATGAATTCATTATTTGGTGATGTGAATTCCAGGAATTGAAATGGATCTCATGGAGTCACTAGCCATAGAAGTTTCTTTAAGACACACTTTTGGAAATAATTTTTAAGTAGTTCACATTGAAGAACATCCATAACAATTCAAGGTGCTTTATATTCATAACTTAATTCTCTCACCACCTCTCTGAGGTAGATATTATTTTTTCTATTTTATAATAAGGAGACTGAAGCTTAGAGAGATCAAGTCGATTGCACAAGGTCACAGCTAATTAGTGCCAAAGCTTGTATTTGAACCTGGGTATGCTTGACTTCCTAGCCTGAATTGCTGTATGATTTAGTTCAGTTTGTACAGGCTGTGGCTACGTTTCGTGTCAAGTGATGTTTTTAAAAGTCAGTGAATATGTAATTGGCAGACCAATTCCAAAACACAAGATCTAGTTTTTGATCTTTGCCTTTCACATACTCACCCAGCAGTCCTGAGGCTCCCTCCTCTACCATCTGCTGCAACAATTTAAGGTTCTGCCAGGCTGGAAAGAAATTCATTCTGTTACTTCATCCAGGTTGCCAAATAGTGTTGGCTGCTAGTCCTCAGACAGGAGTCTGTAGCCCTTGCTGTAAACACAGCAGGGAGAGGAGAGCCTTCTGAGAAGAGTGGCTAAGGCTGGGGCTCCTGGTTATTTGGATTTGCCTGTAGTTGAGGCCCTTCTAATTTCATTGTGTGTGTTCATTCACTGCAGCAGATGCATTTAACACCTGCTGAGGGCAGAGTGCTGGGACAGCTCTGCCCAAGGGCAGCAGCAGCCTGTGTCCAAAAGGTTCATTCTCTTTTTGGGAAAGGAGAAGTGTCAATGACCACATCATGTGAGAGGATATAGGTGTAGGTTAGATGAGTGAGAAGAGGGACTGCCTGGGACAGGAAAGGGCTAAGCCCTGAGAATGAGCTGGTTAGTCAGGTGCTGAGGTGGGGATAGGGTTTGGAGATAACCTTCCAGATGGACAGGGGATGGCAACCACAGAACTGGAAGTGAGAGAGAACATGAGGTGTAGGAGGAACTGAGAGACTGTGATCCTGGAGCTTCGGGTATTGAGGGACTTGGTGGGGAGGGTGGGTAAAGGTCAGTTCTGGGTAGGCTGGGGTGGGGAGCAGCTTGAGATCACCACAAAGGCCCTTGTGAGTCCATCAAGCTGTTGTAGCTGACAGCTGACGTCGGCTTTCCAACTTTGGGATTTTATTGCCCTTTCTCCATTCTACACGGAGCTCCCACTCCCTCTGGGCATAGTGCCAGGATTGTCACATGCAGGAGGTTCAGGGATGCAACACACACGATGCCTTGCTTGCCAAGAATGCGCCTCACTTTTATGGACTACATTCTGCTCGGCACCTCGCCATTTCAGACTCCCACTTGGGCAGGCAGTATCTCCCTTCCATAAAGAGATTGAAGTTTACCTGTCAGTTATTAGAGCCTGGTTGGCTGGCTCTTCTGTGTCTCTGTGGTGTGGACGCTGATGTGTCAACATGAATCATGGTGAAGTGACCAGCAGTAAGGATGAAGTGTGAAGGCAGCCCAGCCAGAAGCACCAGAGGACTAGCTCTGGCCTTATGGAGGGGGTAGGCCTTAGGCCTTGGCGGAGAGGCAGGGTTTAGCGAGATGGGGATCCTTGTTGCAGGATCCCTTTCAACATCCTATCAGCATTTAGTAAAGCTCCTACATCCTTGGGTCACTTCTTTCCATGCCCCTAAATTGCTCACTACTGTCCAATATAATGCCTATATAATTCAGCAGGTACTCAATGCCAGTTTTATTATTTTATTTTTATGTGGTGCTGAGGATTGAACCCAGTGCCTCACACATGCTAGGCGAGCACTCTACCACTGAGCCACAGCCCCAGACCAAATGATGATTGATACTTCTTTTTCTTTTTATTTTTTTGTGGTGCTGGGGATTAGAACCCAGGGCCTTGTGCATGCAAGGCAAGCATTCTACCAACTGAGCTATATCCCCAGCCCCCAATGCCAAAAATAAATTAACTGCATGTTTAGCAGCCCACTGCCTGGACCCTCACTTGCCTGGTGAATGAGGGAGCCTGGGAGCTGTCTGTCTGCCATTTAGGTTTTCAAGTTCAGCTCCCTGCCTCCAGGCACTCTGCTTCTGGGCTGGCTGAACTTGCAGCCAGTAGTCCTGTGGTCTGAGGGTCCCCCCAACAATCTGACAGCATCTGCTGAAATTAAAAATGTGTGGAAACCCCCCTGTAGAAATGCAGGCTGTGGCGTGCCTGCAACAATGTGACCTTGAGCATCCAGCACATTCAGTCAGCAGGAGAGAGAACTACCCAACGTGTCCACAAAGAAGAAGGGGCCAGGAAAGACCCTTTCTACACGGCATGGAAGTTTATGAACCCCTTCAAAAGAAAGCAGAGTGGAGATGAATACCCAGCCAGGAACTCTGTTGAATGGAAGAGCAGGATCCCCCGTAAAACAGAATCTGCTGTAAAGACATGTACTTACTTGTGGGCTCTAAGGAAAAATACTCAAGGTTAGTGCTCTACTCAGGGGAGGGGGCACTAACTTTTCATTGCAGACCCTTTTGCAATTTTGAGTGATGATGGAGGGGGTGGTGGCTGACACAGTAGGTAGCCCTTGTGAATACCAGCAGAACAAGGTGACTGGTTGTTTCCAACACCTCACAGAGATTATCTCATTAAATCTTCACACAACCCTATGACATCGTTATAATTAATGATTTTTAGGAAAACAAGAGGCGGGAGGGTTACATTATTTACGAAGATGATGTAATTAGTGGAGAGGCCTGGATTGGAGCTCAGGCAGCCTGATCCCCAAACTCGTAATTTTTCATTAAAAACAGGTCCCTGATAACTTCTGGTCCCTTAAACTGCCTCATCCACGGGACCCTGTGACTTGTGTCACGGGGGACTTGACCTCCCAGGTCCGCCGCTGCTTTACCGGGGAAACGTGTCGCAGGTCCCGGCGCGGGGTGCACGGCAGAGCCCCAGGTCCCGACGCCGCGGTGGGCGCGGGCGCGGAGGCCCTTGGCGTCCCTGGGTAGTCGGGCTGATGAAACGCGCCTCCCAGCTGGGCTCCGCGGCCCGGCACGCGTTCCCTCCAGGCCCGCGGCGGGCCCGGCGGGCGGCTCCTCCCGGTGGGGTGACGGGCGGGTGACGGGCGGGGGCCGGGGGGCGGGCCCGGGAAGGCGGTGCCGCGCGCTGGGGCGGGCGGGCGCGGGCCGGTGGCGTCGGGAGGCTGCGGCGCGGAGGGGCGCGGCGCCCGCGACCTTCCGCGTCTCCGGGCGGCGGCGGCGGCGGCGGCGGCGGCGGTGAGTGTGCGCGCGCCCGTGCGCCCGCGGTCCCGGGTTGGTGCCGGGCGGCGCCGGCGTCTCGGCCTGCGCTCGCGCCCAGGGCTGGGCTGGCTCGGCGACTCCGAGATGCAGCGCGCTCCTGGGGCCCTTCCCCGGGTCGGCCCGGAGCCCGCGGACTGGGGCGGGGGTGTTTTTTGGGGTGAAAAAGACCCCCGCCCACCGCCAGGCAGCAGACCTGGACGAGATGGAAGGGCAGAGACCAGGGCAAGGCACCGCTGCCCAGGCCACGGCCACCACGTTCTGTGGGACCTCCTGGGCCTGGAGGAGCCGGGGTTTCAGTTCTAGCTCCGTCCCCGACTGGCGCCTTGATCCCGAATGGCTCACTTTCTTTTTCGAGTCTTAATTTCCGCATCTGTAAAATGGGGAGCTTTGTCTCATTTACTCCAGGCTTGTCCACCCCAAAACTTCTGGGGCGGGCCCTCCTGTGATCTCTTGTAGGATTTCCAGTTCCACAAACAAACCTGACCCGAGGGAGGAAAACGGGGTCGTTTCTCTTTCCCTGTGAGGAATCTCAGGCCAGAACATCGCTCTTGCGGTGTCAACAGAGCTGGGGACCTCTGGGCATCCAGCTGGTGCGCGGGGGCCTGGAAGGTCTGGTTAGCCACAGAATCCCCAGAGGGAGCCCAGAGGCCAGGACTCTGGAACTAGTGGCAGGAGTCCCAAAGCTCTGCTCCCTCCCTCAGTGCGCCTCCATCCTGGTGTCTGACTCTCCCACTGTCACCTGGGACTGAAGCCGGGCTGAGTGGGAGGGGGCCCTCATACAGCGCTCTGGGTGACAGTTTAGTTTCTGTCCCTGGGGTCTTGCCAGCTCCCCTCCTGTCCTTTGCCACCTCTGGATCTGGATGCCTAAGATGCTGGGGGTGGGGGGCAGGAGCAGCCCTACTCTCCCCTGATGGGCAGGTCCTGCTCACTAGCTTCTCTCCCCCTCACCTTTGCCAAGCCAAGGAGCCCCCTTCTCTCCCAGAAAGCCTGGAGAACACTTCCCACCTCAAAGCTCCCTCCTATTCCCTACTTGTCTGGTAATTTTCTTTCTTAGTTTGTCCTTCCCTCAGATAGTGATCCTCAGCAGGGAGGACTGGACAGGGACTTCAGATTTTTATCTCTGGTCTCATGCTCAGGGCCTGGCCCTAGAAGGTTCTTAGGGCTATATTCCTTCAGCTGCTTCCCAGTGCTATTCAGAGTGATTTATGCCTGTGAAAGCTAAACCTCACAACAGTCTAAAGTCACCACCATTATCTCCGCTGACACATGAGGATACCAAGGCAGAGAGAAGTCCAGTAACTTGCTCAAGGTCACACAGGTGGGAAGTAGTAGGACTGGGCAGGTTACTTTTAGCCATCAGAGAACAGCTTCAGGTGAATGAATGAAGCCTGCTGATTGGGACTCCGAAGGTGGCTGATAGACCAACTAGGGTGCTGTGATTCCCTGCCAACACCCCCTCCCCCAACCCTGGAAAGACAGTGCCTCATTGTGGGATTTTGCAACTAATGGAACCTCCTGTGCAGTCTGAAAGGAGACCTCAGATTTCAGCAACTCCAGCTCGTGTGTGGTTCCTCCTCGATACTAGGTTGCCAGGCTTTTCTGAGACTCCAGAGCAGTTCCTCTGACTTACAGGCTCCCAGCTGCAGTGTCCCTGGGTTTTGTCTGGAGCCTGGGTGGATGGGATATTCTCTGCCTCGTGGGCCTAGTCGGTGATCAAGTTAAGCAGAGAAGGGCTTCATTGGTTGTGAGTTCGTCTATTTTTGTTGCTTTCATGCCTCTTGGGGTACAAAGTAAGAGGAAGGAAGTGAGGCAGGATAAGATTGGCTGGTAAATGCTTGTCAGATTTGTGAGTGTTGCTGTAGACCAGGACTCAGGTTACGTAATGAGGGGAGACCCTGCCCTCCCAGCAGAGAGCTTTCCATCTGAGTGGAATTTGTTTCTAGATCAGGCCTGGGAAATGCAGTCCCTCCTGACCCACTCATTTTTTAAAAAATATATTTTTAAGTTGTATATGGACACGATACCTTTATTTACTTTTACGTGGTGCTGAGGATCGAGCCTGCTGCCTCACACACTAGGCAAGCGCTCTACCACTGAGCCCAAACCCCAGCCCTGACCCCTCATTTTAAAGGCAGTTTCAGGAAGAGACAGTCAGACCAGGGTCCAAAGGTGCAAAGGCCTGGGAACTGTGGCCTTGGACTCCAGAGCTGGATAGCGGGAGCTCTTCTCTGATTTCTTGGCTGTTAGACACCCAACTTTGTACAGATCACTTCACACATGTGACCTCAGTTTTGTTACCTGTGAAGCAGGAGAAACGTGTTGAGGAAAGGGGCCTCATGGTGGGTGGACCACTGGAGGTCATTTGGCATCTGCTGTCACATCCCATAGCAGCTTAGTGAAGTAGGCCCCGCACCCCCATTTTACAGGTGACAGCAGCAGCGCTCAGGCTGGGTGCCTCGGCAGCGAATGTCACAGCGTGTGAATGACTGAGCAGGGATTTGAGTTTAGGCTTTCTGGCTCCAAGGTCTTCAGTCTTTTCCTCACATTTGGTGCTTTGTGGCATTTGAGTGTGGCACAGGCAGATTGAATTGTTAGTTAAAAGCGCATCTTTTATATATTCTTGGTTGGGAGAAGGGGCTCCCAAATGACTTTCTGCAGCTTAACATTAGGACTAGCTTCAAGTGCATGTAACCTCCACAGTCACTCCAGGCGCCCTACTTAGGAAAGTCCCCAAATTTGGCTTGATGTTCTGCTATCAACATTTTGCAACCCTTCACCATTTCTGAACCAGGGGCCCTGCATTTTCATTTTGTACTGGGCCTCACAAATTGCGTAGCTGTTTCTGTTAAAAAGTACTGAGAGAACAGAAGGTGGTGAGCACAGGAGGATCGGGCTCTTCCCCTGACACAGTGGCAGTGTGTCCTGGGTCCAGCTTGGAATCAAGCAGATGTGTATCGACTGGGAACTTTGTGTCATCCCCAATATCGCCAACCATGGTAGCAAAAAGGAGATTCTAGTTGTTGGGCACCCTGGTGCACATCTATAATCCCAGCAACTCGGGAGGCTGAGGCAGGAGGATCACAGTTTGAGGCTAGATTCAACAAAGGGCTGGGGATGTGGCTTACCAGTAGAGCTCCCCTGAATTCCATCCCCAGTATCACTCCTATACAAATACAACTTTAGTGGACTTTTTCATCAAGGCATTTAGCAGGGCTGCTGTGCCGTCCCCTGGGGTTCTGGCATAGTTTTCCTTGGCAAGGGGCGATTCTCAGGTTCCCGGCTGGACACATAACAGAGGTGAACAGTGCAGGTTGCAGTCATAGCAGACGGCCTGCAGATTCAGGTTTTTACCAAGGAAAACATCCACCAGTGGGTCCCTGTGTTTTGCCTATGAAGGTGGCCAAGGGTGATACCCGCTATCCTCTCAGTGACCTGGCCCTGGAGGCCTTAGAAGCCTTTCCAAGATGGGTTGTAGCCAGGAAGGCACATTGATCACTACACTATCTTTTTTTTTTTTTCCTATTTCTAGATGACTATTTTATTGACAGCATTTGCATGTTTGCTTTGGCTGTCTGGAAGCTCAAAACTAAATTCTTGACTTAGGAACAGCAACTGTGTTAAATCTCAAAATAGCAATAGAAAAGGTTTTTTTTTTTGGGGGGGGGGTACTGGGAATTGAACTCAGGGGCACTGGACCACTGAGCTACATCCCCAGCCTTATTTGATATTTTATTAGAGACAGAGTCTCACTGAGTTGCTTTTGTCAGCTGAGGCTGCTTTGAACTTGCAATCCTCCTGCCTCAGCCTTCTGAGCTGCTGGGATCACAGGTGTGCATCACTGCACCGGCTTTTTGGGTTTTTTTTGGTAGAACTGATATTCATGGGATAGGTTCTTTGTTCCAGTGCTGCTGTGTGTCTTTCATGCGAATCACCCATTGAGTCTTTGCAGCTACCCTGCAGGGAAGGTTCTGTGATTGGAAGAGCTGAAGCTCTGAGGTGGATCTTGCCCAAGGTGGAGGGGTGAGCCCGCCATTTACCCAGTGAGCCTGGCTCTGGAGTCCATGTGGGAACCTAGGTATTTTTACCTACTAGATTTGAATTTCCCATCACCTGATTTTCCCCTGAGTTTCCCAGAGCTGGCCATGGAACCCAGGGCCTCATGCATGCTGGGCGAGCACTTTACCACTGACCACGCCCCCGCCCCTGCCCTGTGTGTCTTGGCCATGTCTGTGGGAAGCTGGGGGAGATCCTTGGTGTAAACAAGGCTCCTGTGACAGATGTGCCTGCCTCATGCCTGGTTACCTGGGCTTGCTCAGTGAGGGTAACTGAGTGGGCCTGGTCAGCTCTGGAGTAAGAGCTGGAGAAGTCCCCTGACCAGAAGGGAAGTTCTCAGCCAAGGCCTGGCCTGGGGGCATGTTTTAGTTCCTCATCTTCCCTCCAAGAAGTTTCTTCGGCATCATCAGGACGACTAGAGTCAGCAAAAAGACTCTCATGGGCCTTGGTGACTTTGGCCTCCCAGAGCTCCAGGAAGCCTGGGCCCAGGCCTGAGGTTCCTTCTTGTGCTCTTTTCTGAAGGTGAGTGAAGCCTAGTCGGCTGCTCCAGGATGAGCCGCAGCCCCAGGAAGGGGAAGTAGAAGCCCAGCTGGCTCTGGCCATGGCCTGTGAACCGCAGATGGACCCCGGCGGGGCGGCCGGCCCTTTGCCCACCTCCTCCCCTGGCTGGAGCGCCCTGCAGCCGGGAAGCCCTCCTGGGTGGGGGCAAGGTAAGGACCCTTCACTCTCTCCTCCTCCCTGAGGCTCCTCGGAACTGGACTCACCTAGCATTCTAGGTTAGGGGCAGGGATGGGTCACAGAGCATTCTTTAGATAAGGGTGGGTGACCTTGGAGTACATTTCCAGGCTGCCTTCTAAGAAGGTTTTGTTTTATTTTATTTTTTGGTACTGAGGATTGAACCTAGGGGTCCTTTGCAACTGTGCTACATCCCCAGTCCTTTTTTTTTTTTTTTTTGGTGCTAGGGATGGAAACCAGGCCCTTGTGCATGCAAGGCAAGCACTATGCCAGCTGAGCCATATCCCCAACCCCACCCCCAGTCCTTTTTAATTTTAATTTTGAGATAGGGCCTCACAAAGTTTCTGAGGCTGGCCTTGAACTTGTGATCCTCCGGTCTCAGCCTCCTGAGTTGCAGGGATTACAGGTGTGCCCCACCACGTCCGGCTGCCTTCTGCCATTTCTGCCCAGATCACTCCATCACCATCTCCTGTCATCATCCTCTGCTTTTCAACTGATCTTCTCCTTCCTGTCCCTCTGGTCTCTCCCTGGCAGCAGGAGAGATCTTTTTCAAATACACATGCAGCTGGGTCACTTTCTACTTCAGGGTTTCCCATTTGGCCTGACATGAAAACCTGTCATTTGCCAGCTTGCAAGGTCTGTCTTAATGACTGTTGCTGCCCTTGTTCTTTGTTCTTTGCCATGCTGTTCTGCCTCAGGGCCTTTGTACATCCTGTTTCTTCTGCCTCTTTACTTTGTCCCTGCCTACTTTCCATTGCTTAGTTTCTATTCACCCTTCAGAGCTCAGTGCAAATATCCGTCCTATGAGGAATCTTCCGGATGACTTTGCCCCAGTCAGTACCCTCTGATATGCTCTTCTGATGTATTTTCCTCCCTGTTGTACTTACTACAGTCTGTAAATAATTATCTGAGTAATGAACATTGCACGTCTAGCCTCCCCTCTGGAATGTAAGCTCCAGGAGGGCAGGGCCTCTGTGTGTCTGTGGTCCCAGCCCACGGCTTGGCCCATTGTGGATCTTCAATAAACACTTTGGTTGAATAAAAGATGGAACGAGTGGCTGGGACAGGCAAGGGGGAGCAGCGCTCCATTTTGTGTGAAGGCCACAGGAGTGTGGCTGGTTCCTTAATGGGTCTGAAACCTGGCTGCTTAAAACAAGGGTTTCTTCTATTACCCCAGTCGTTAGGGAAGCAGTTCCTACGCATGCACCTACAGCCCCGGAATGGGAATGGAGTGGAATGGGGCAGCTTTCCTTCAGGACATTAAAGACGCTGCTCCACTGAGCCTGGGCAAGCCAGTTCTTGCTCCTCTGTGGGAAGAGGGCTCTTCCCTGTGCGCATGCACACACGTGAATACACACGCATCCTTTCCCTTTTGGTAGCTTTTCTTAGCCTAAGGGTAAAAACAAGTATTTCTAAGTGGAGGACTTGGTGTGCTTGCTTTAAGGAACAGATGAGCAATACTATTGCCAGAAATCCGGAACTCTTGATTTGGAAGGCAAACAGACACCATGAAACTTCTTTGCATTGCTCCTGCACACACTTGCTGTGCAGAGGGCCAGGCCCGGGAGGGTCTCAGGGTCCTGCGTGGAGTCCACAGGGCCATGTGTGCGGGGAGGGGTGGGTCAGTCGCAGGCCCCGCCTGCCGTGCTGGGTCTGGTGCACTCCTCCCCTTCTTGCTTCTTTCCACTCCTGTCTTCCCTGTTAACACAGAGCAAGTTCCTCTTTTCAGAGGTTTGGTTTCCTTTTCTATGTTAATGGCACCCATCCTTTGGGGTGCTTAGAGGAGTCGGTGAAATCCTGAAAAACCTCCACCCAGTACCTGGTACACAGTAGGGGCTCAATATCCAAACCTGTTGTTATCTGCCTTTATTTTGTTTCTGTCTACTCTTCCTAATTTGCATAGTCTTTGATTTAATCTTATAATTCTGTTTATTTATTTATTTATTTTTGCAGCGCTGGGGCTTGAACCCAGGGATGCTCTACCACCAAACTACATCCCCAGCCCTTTTCACTTTTAATTTTGGGTCAGGATTTCGCTAAGTTGCCTAGGCTGGCCTCAAACCTGCAATCCTCCAGTCTCAGCTTCCTGAGTTGCTGGGATTATAGGCGTGTGCCACCCCATGTAGTTCTGAATGTGTGCCTTTAACATATGAGTGAGTGGCAGATGTGCTTGGGGTGCTGTGCTTTGTGTGCCCCCTCCAAAAGCACGTTGAAATGAGTTGCATCATAACAGTATGAAGAGGGGGCACCTTTAAGAGGCGATTAGGTCTGGGTGGGCTCTGCCCTCGTGAGTGAGCGGTGTTGAGAAAAACAATTGAGAGGAGGAGGGTTTATCCAGGGTCACAGTGGTGGAGATGTCAGCCCGTGGCCACTGGATCCTCGGCTTTGGGCCTGGGGAAACAAAACATCATGATGGGGAGGGCACGGTGGGCTAGAACTGCAGAGAGAGGGAGGGGGAGGCTGGGGCTGGGGCTGGGAGGAGAGGTAGTCTCCAAGGGCAACCCCTAGACCCCCGCTCCCTTCATTGAGGGCCCGCCTCATACAGGTCCCCCACCTCCAGTAGATTACTTGGCTCTGAGTCCGTCAGTGGGTCAGTTCACTGCTGAGACCAGAGCTGTGTGACCCGGTCGCTTCTGAAGAGCCTTGTTCCTGCACGTTGCTTCATTGGAGGCCAGGCCTCCCACAGGAACATGTCCTCCTGACCTAACCGAGCATGTCACTGTCAGGCAGTGAGTTATTAAGAGTGGGTTTCTTGGGTTCCCAATAAGCAGGATGAATGCAGGCCAGTTTTCCTGTCTGTCCCTCGCTCACTTGCCCTGCTTCAGGTGCTCTTCAGATGCCTTCATCTGGGACTTCCTGGCCTCCAGAACTGTGTGTGGGCCACGTGAGCCTCTGTTATGTAGAATTTGCCCAGTTTGTGGTATTCTGTTAGAGCAGCAGAAAATAGACTGAGACAGGAGAGGTCACCACGAAGCCAGTGTGTTCATTTTCTTCTGCTCCTGTTACAAAGTGGCCACTAACATGGAGGCTCCAAAACCACAAATGTATTATTTTGCGGTTCTGAGGTCAGAATCTGACCCTGGGCTCGCTGAGCTCGCAGTGGGTGCCGGCAGGACTCCGCTCCTTCCTGGAGGCTCTGGGGAGAATGTTTCCCTTCCCAGCTCCTAGAGGCTGTCTGCATTCCTTAACTCTTGGCCCTCTTCCTCCGTCCCCAAGCCAATGACTGTCCTTCCCTCCTTCTTCCCTTGTCACATCTGCCCCTGCTTCTGCCTGCCTGTCCCACTTTTGAGGGTCTTTGTGATCATGATGGGCCACTTGAGTGTCCTGAATGTGCTCTCTTTGTAAGATCTGTGACCTTAATGCCATCTGCAATCTTAATTTTTGCCATGAAGGCAGCATATTCACAGGTTTAGGGAGTTAGGGTGGGGATGTCCTCTGGGCCCTTGTTCTCCATGTCATAGCTGGTTGTCGCTAACTGGGAGGCAGCTAGGAATTCAGGAGACATTTACCGAGCTTCCTTTGCAGTGCCGGAGTCAGCGTCTGCTACGTAATCCCCTCGATGTCATCGTTCCCCTCAATGTTGGTTGTTCAGTCGCTGTTTAAGTGGCCCTGGTGATGGGGACTCAGCCACCCTTTCTTTGAGAGGACAGCTTTCCCTTTGGGGAGGTTAGGTCTTCCTTGCCTGGTCTCACGTAGTATCCCAGTGGCTTCCTTGCTCTGGCCTCAGTTCTGTCTCCCTGGGGCTTCCCAATCAAGTCCAGTCCTTAGGGATTTGAGGACAGCCGTGTCCTTCCTTGTCATGAGAAGGTTCTCACGGCCAGTGGGGGGATGCCTTCGTTTCTGGCCTCCTCCGAGGTGGCTCTGGTGCAGCCAGATGAGGCTTCTTTCTGCTCTTTTCTCAGAGCTCCACAACGGCCAGGTCCTCACCGTCCTCCGGGTCGACAATACCTGTGCACCCATGGCCTTCGACCTGGGAACCGCAGAGGAGCAACTGCAGACCTGGGGCATTCAGGCGAGTGCTATGTTCACCAAGCCCTCAAGCCCCCACTGCTTTCCCTTCCATCCGTCTGTCTACCCGTCATCCACCCATCTGTCCTCTCACCCAGTTATTCTCCAAGTATTTATGAACGTCCCCCTGCCTGCTGTGGTGGGTGACGTAAGGAAGGTGTGTGGGACCTGGCCTGTCTTCTTGATGGACTCACTTCCTGAAGGTGTGTTTGGGGGTGTCCCTTCTGTGCCAGGCGCCTAGCTGGCTCAGCAGTGTAGAGGCGAGCAGGACCCCAAGCTCACACTGCTCCCAGAGCCCACTGGGGAAATGGACAAGGGTTGGAGGGGTCAGGACTGTAGGAGTCAGGACTGTGGGACACAATGACGCAGCAAAGCATTGAAGACGTGCCCAGGGAGATTGGTGAGCCTTGCCCGCGTGAGTGGTTGGGAGAGCCTCTGAGGAGCAGACCTTGATGTGGGGCCTCGAGGGCAAGCGGGAGTACACCGGGTGGGCAGGAGGAGGGCCTTGCAGGAGATGGGGCTGTTCTTGCTGGCAAAGGAAAGTTTGTGTGAACTCACCTCCCGATGCAGGGAACGCAGGCCCGGGCTTCCCAGACCCCCTCTTCTGCACTCAGACCCAGCTCTGCTGCCCGCTGCCTCTGTGAATTTGGATAGATAGCTTATCCTCTCTGAGTCTGTTTCATCTGCAGATTAAGACAATATCAAAACCCAGCGGCTCGGGAGGCCGAGGCAGGAAGATCGCAAATTCAAAGCCAGCCTTAGCAATGTAGTGAGGCCCTAAACAACTTAGCGAGACCCTGTCTCAAAATTAAAAAAAAAAAAAAGATTATCAGTTATCAATACCTATTATATTGGTGTTTAGTTAGGAGTAAGTGAAGTCATGTCTGAGGAACATTTGCACTGTCTCTGGCACATCGATAAATCGAAGCTCTTGCCGTTGGTGGGAAGTGCCAGAGGGTGGTTTTCCCTTCCCAAACCCCAGCAGGATGAGGGTCTCCTGTGAAGGCCAGGTTGGTCAGGCACAGATGGGGAGCACACACTGCTCATTTACCCGGAAGATTTCAGAATTTATTTCATTGAAGCTGAATTGCATTTTTGTTCAGAACAACATTGGGTCACCATCAGATGAAGACTTGACGAATCGAGCTAATATCATGTCGGCACCAATTGGCTTCGTCATTCTGCAATTCCTTTCCACCTTTGTACAGATTTTTTTTTTTTTTAAATTGGGAATTGAACTCAGAGGCACTGTACCACCGAGCACGTCCCCAGCCCTTTTCATTTTTTATTTTGAGACACAGTGTTATTAAGTTGCTTAGGGCCCCACTAAGTTGCTGAGGCTGGCCTGGAACTTTAGATCCTCCTGCCTCAGCCTCCTGAGTAGCTGGGTTCACCACTGCACCTAGCAGAAGAGCATCTTTCTCACATAGTCGTCTTCGGGTTCAGTTTTCTTATTGGTGTACAGTTTATATATTGTTGTACCATGTTCCTAAATGTAATTTTTAATTGGTAAGTTCTTTTTCCTTGGTCTACTTTCATAGGGCGTTCTGCAGACACTTTTTTTTTTTTTAATTTTAATATTTATTTATTAATTTTAGTTTTCGGTGGACACAACATCTTTGTTGGTATGTGGTGCTTGAGGATCGAACCCAGGCCGCACGCATGCCAGGCGAGCGCGCTACCGCTTGAGCCACATCCCCAGCCCTGCAGACACTTTTGTTTGGGCAGGGAGAGCATGTGGGACTCTGGGCTGTGCTAGTGGATGCGGATATTGCAGTATTGACAGTAGCACCTGTGTATCTGGTGGTCACCATGCACCTGGCACTGTGCCAAGCACAGTTTGTGTCTGATCTAATTTAATAAGAACCCAACCCTACAAGGTGGGTTCCCTGCATTTTGTAGAGGGGGAAACTGAGGCTCAGAGAAAGGGGTAACTTGCTCCAGTTCACACAGCACAAGAGTGGCAGGGCATTGGGCCAGGGCCGCCTGACTCCCAAGGCCTGTGCCTTGACTGTCAGCCCATGCTGTGCCTGCCCCAAGGTACTGAGTCTCAGGCTGTGGGGACAGACCCCTTGAGATTCTCCTGGCTCTCAAGCTGTTCACCTTCTCAGGATGGCTGTTTCTCCCTGAGCCTGCACCTGTGATTTCCACCCAGGACTCACTCTGCCCCCTGGGGCGGCCTAACCCCCCCCACCCACCATGGGAACCGGCTGGCGGGATGGGGTGGAGTAGCCATGTGGTTGACTGATCTCTTTCCCTTGGGTGGCCGAACAGGTCCCTGCTGACCAGTACAGGAGCTTGGCGGAGAGTGCCCTCTTGGAGCCCCAAGTGAGAAGATACATCATCTACAATTCGAGGCCCATGCGGCTGGCCTTTGCCGTGGTAAGCAGCGAGATGGGCACACACTGGCCCGGCCCTGGCCTTCTCCCACTGCCAAATGCAGTGTTGTATCCTGCAGCAGATAAGGGACTTGGCAGCTGGTGACCCAGTTAATTGCCTGGGGAAGAGCGGTACCACATGGGCCTGGATTTGGCACTGGGAGAGAACTGTGGGAGAGAGTTGTAACCAAGTCCCTGCATACAGGGTGGGAGCTGGGGTTTCCTATGGGCAGAACCTGGACTGGGAATCTGCAGACCACCAGGCTCTGAACTCAGTGTCTGATCTTGGCTAAGACTTGGTTTCCTCTTCTGCTCACAGAGAGGTCCATTCCAGCCCTAGTCATATACACATGTATGTATATATGCATGTGCACATGTGTGTATGTGTACATGTGAACACTACATCTGCATACGCATACATCTACACTCACAAACACATACATACGTTTGAACACAAGCTGTCTGGCTTTTGCATCTGTGGTCTTAACCACCACGACTTGCTTCTTTGGTGAATCCTTGGTCAGATAGCATGGCTGACTCTCACCTCCCTCTTCTGGGGAGAAGGGGAAGGGGTGAGAATCAGCATTTATTAATTCTCTAGTCAGTGCTGGGCTGCGACCTTTGTTACCCTGTTAACTCTTGCAGCAAACCCCCAAAGTAGCTGTTATTATCATCACTTTACGGATGAGCAAACTGAGGTTCAGAGACGAAAGGCTGAATGGCCAGTTAAGGATCACTGTGGGTTTCAGACTCAACCTTATCTTTCTCCAAAGACTTCTTCTTTTTCTGTTTTACTTAAAATCAGGATAAAGAGGGCTTGGGAGCAGCTGAAAGCCCTGCAGTCCGCTTTTGCTTATAAACAGGGAATATACATCCGTTCCCATAGACCCAGAGTCTGCGTTGGTCTCTTCCAGCCCCGTGAGCTGTTTGAACCCAGGAGGGTGTCGGGGGCCTCTGCCGGTGTCCCTGGGAGTGGAGGTGCTTCGTTTGAGGACGGGGGTTCCTGACTGTGCTCTTCCCTGGTTTCCCGCAGGTGTTTTACGTGGTGATCTGGGCCAACATCTATTCAACCAGCCAGATGTTTGCCCTGGGCAGCCACTGGGCGGGCGTGCTTCTCGTGACCCTGGCCGCAGTCAGCCTGACCCTGACTCTCATGCTGGTCTTCGAGAGGCAGCAGAGGAAGGTGAGAGGTCCAGAGGCCCCTGCCATGCTCCCTCCAGAGGGCCGGGTGGGCCTGAGAGTCCCAAGGCAGCCTTTCCTCTTGCCTGCTTTTAAAGAATCCCTCCTGCCATGAAAATTCACTCTGGCCCACATGCACCAGGGTTGAAAGAAATCAGATCACCATCAGGACAAAGTCCTCTTTTTCTTTCTTTTATTTAATCAACTTAAAAAGAGAAAAGGTTTATTTCGGCTCATAGTTTGGGAAGTCCCAATCCGTGATTGGCTGGCCCCGCTGCTTTGGGGCCTGTGGTGAGGCCGCGTGTCCCAGGAGCAGCACATGGGGAGGGGAGCAAAGCTGCTTGCCTCATGCCAGAGAGCTAGAGAGCTTTGTTTTTCTCATCTCATCCCTGTGGGTTTTTTTTTTTTTTTTCCTGGAAGCCAGCTGTTTTAAAGAGCTTGGGAAGAGGGTGCTGAGTCAGTTGAGCTGACTGAACTCTCACTCACCTTTCCCTGGGTGCGCATGAGAGGCCTGTGAGAAAGCTCCAGAGGGTCACTGAGCCCACCTCCCTGCAGCACTGGGTGCCTGAGCTTGAGGGTGGTCAGACTTTAGGTAACTTCTCCTGGATTCCACTATAAGTGGCAGAGCCAGGGTTCAAATCCTGAGCCCTCTGAAGGTTTTGATCACCTTTGAAGAGGAGGTCAACCCCTCCCATCGTAAGGTACGGCTCATGAATTGTAGTTTCTTTGAATGTGTGTCTCTTGTTATGGGTTGAGTGCTCTTGAAGTCCAGTAAGTCCTCCGTTCAGTGCTTTACAGTCCTCTGGGTGGACTCTGTTTACAGGTGGGGAAGCCGAAGCTCAGGAAGGCTCAGCGAGCAACCCACAGCTGTGTTGCTAGTAAATGGCCGAGTTGGAGTTCAAGGCCGGGATGCTCAGATTCTGAGCCATGTTCTTAGTGCGAACTCTACAGTGTGGGAACTGGAGCCACTGTAACAGAATGCTGTAAACTTAAAACAGTGTTATGAATTAACTTACGCTTCTGTGATCATCAGCCCAGGCCTCAAAGGGCCAGAATCGGGTGTGGCAGCCTGTGTTCCCTCCAGAGGCTCTAGGGAAGAATCTGTCCACTGGTCTTTCCCAGCTCCTCTAGGGCTCCTGCATTCCTAGGTCCCCGTCCCCCTTCCTCCTCTTTCAAAGCCACACCTCCTCTGGCTCTGATTCTCCTGCCTCTCATTCCCTTTGAAGGACCCTTGTGATTATATCACACCCCCTGGCTAATCCAAGATAATCTCAGCATTTGAAGGTCAGCTGAGCAGCAGCACGAAGTCCATCCTGCACTCAAGTCCCCTTTGCTCCCTAACAATAGTCACAGATTGGCCCAACAGCAGGGTGCTGACCAAGAACATGACTTGGAATCTGAGCATCCTGGCCTGGGATTCCAGCTTGGCCACCGATCAGCAGCATGACCTTGGGCTGCTCCCAGAGCCTTTCTGAGCCTCAGCTTCCCCACCTGTAAACTGCAGTAGCCTCCACCCAAAAATGGACAGGATTGGGGAATGGGACTCAGGTGTCCCTGGGGGACCACCGTTCTGCCCCGCACACCGATGCTGTCTCACGGTGACTCGGAAAGCTCCTGTCCTCGCATCCTGCAGCCCTGGTCACAGTGCTGGGCCCCGAGGTTCTCAGCAGGCACGAGGCTCCTACTCAGAAGGGGAGGGCAGGATGTGGGGAAATGTCATCAGGTCAGTCCCCTGTGTTCACTGGGACAAATAGGAATTTTATGGCTGAATCATTCTGAAAGGATCTTTGTTGGGCTTTATCACCAGGCTGACAAGAAAATACTGCCCTCGGGCTGTGCTGAAACTTCCCCCCAATAGCCCTTGTGCTTGGCTGGTAAGAAATGAATGGAGCAAGCTGCTCCTGAAGCAGGAAGCTTCTTTGGGGAGAGGAAAAAGCAAAGTGGTGTGCTTGAGCAGAGGCAGGAGAATGGCTGGCATCCGGCTGCCTGGAGGCTGCAGATGCAAGCCATGTGGACAGGGGATGCCTGCGTGGGCGCCCCGTCTCTCCCCTCCTTTCATTCACCTGGCAGCTGTGATGTGTGAGTTCCAGGTAATGTGCTAGGCACAGGTCACAGACATGAGCAAGGCCCAGCCTCTCACAGGCAGCACAAAGGCCCAGGGGCACCAAGGGAGTGTTCCTGGGCCATCTGCTCACTCTGGAAACTCCTAACAGTGAGCCCTGTGTCCTGAGCACCCGCTGTGTGCCCCGTGCTTAGGGCCTGAAGTATGTGCCCAGAACACCTCTGCCATTTGTTAGCCCTCAGCTTGGAGCAAGTTACCATTTTACCTGCAGGGCTTCAAGTTTCCTCACCTCTAATGTGTGGCAAAATAACTGTGGGATTTTTGTGCAAATGAAATAATTTAATTCATGAAAAGTGCTTACGGTAGTACTTGGTATACTGTAAGTGCTACTCAGGTATTAACTGTCATTACTGTCGATCTTGTCTGCCGGTGGGGAACCTGGAGCCCAGCGAGCTGAAGTGACAAGTCTGTGGCCACACAGCTCTCCTTAGGTCCTCCTCTGGGTCTCAGTTCAAGGGCTTCTAACCTGTGGGGCTTCTTGGTCCTCAGGACCATATAGATCCCCGCTCCCGGGCTCCTGGCCGGTGTTGCTGTTGATGCCCCACCCACGTCCCTTGCACCCACAGGAGCGTCAGGATTCATACTCACTGACTCATTTTCCTCACTTGGCCTTGCTGCCCTTCCTTGAGAGCAGAAGGTTTGGGAGGGCAGGCGAGACTGTGCCCAGCACCCCTGTAGAGTACCGCTCATTGCTAAGCAGGTTCCCGAGAACGTGTCTGTGGCCAGTGCCACGTGGGTAATACCGCATGCTAAAGTGGGTTTCGTCATCACGAAGCTGTCGCTAGCTGACCGCAGCCCATTACCCCCAGAGTTCCACCTGGACAAGCTCCTTTCCTCCCTCTTGTTACCCGGTACAGGAAGGGCTGGCCTGAGGGGGACAAGACCCAGGCCCCAGACGGGTCTTCAGAGGCAGGCCTTTTACAGACGCGTGCTTTCCGAGAGCAGGTGCACAGGCCATCCGCGCCCACCCCCCCCAGTGCTGTTGCCCATGCGCCCCAGCCTGGATTAAGAGCTTCATCCACGATCCCAGTGAAACCTCCCTGCGTTCCTGGGAGGCAGGGACAGTGGAAATGTGATGTTTTGAATCCAGTTTCACTGTCAATGACATTGTTTACTCTTTATTCTGTAACTGAAGACAGCAGGGCCCAGGGAAGGGACATCACTCACAGGGCCAGACCCCTGGAGGTAGAAGAGGCGGGCTTTGCCCTGGGCTGCCTGATACTCTTGAATTTACTGTCCCAACAATGGCCCCATTTACAGGGGAGGAGGTGCAAGTCCTGAGGGTGAGGGCTGCTGTGTGGTGTCCAGGGTGGGACAGTGTGGCCGTGGGCCGGGAGCTCCCTGGCAGCACAGAGGTCAACCATGAGCCTGGCATCTGTCTTACAGGCTAACACTAATACAGACCTGAGGCTCACGGCTGCCAATAGAGCCCTGCTGAGACACCGGGTGCTGCTGGGGGTGACGGATACCGTGGAAGGGTGCCAGAGTGTGATCCAGGTACTGTGGCTTGGAGTGGTCTCTCCCTGGTGGCCCACTTTTGATCTGGGCTCCTGAGGACAGTTGGCCTTGTATCTCCCAGCCTGTGCAGCAGGTCCAGGAGCTTGCAGGTGAGATGATGTCACAGGCCCTTTCCTTCCTCCCTGCTCCGGACAGCTCCTTGGTGCTGAGCTCCCTGTGGGCACTGAAGGATACCAGAGGTCTGCAAGGTGTCCAGCCAGCAATAGCTCACAGGCTTGTGAGGATGGCAGGCATGTGGTCACATGGTCACAACGCCTTGCTGGCCCTGGGGCAAAGAAAGGCCCTGGCAAGGCTGAGATGCAAGGCAGACAGGGCACTTTGAGGGACCATGAGGAGCCACCAGGGAGGACAGAGCTGGGAGAGATGAGGCTGGAGGGGCAGATCAGGTGCTGAAGGCCTTGTCACCTGGCTCAAGTCATTTTCTATATCCTAGAGACAGAGGGAAGGCCTTAAGGTGACAAGTACAAAGTCTCACAGTGGGTTGGGACACAACTGGGGCTGGCGGTCATGATCCTGGCTGGACTCTGCCCAGTGGGGTTGCCACATCTCCTTGGCACCTTGCAGGGAAGAGCCTAGAGGAGTCTGGGGGGTGGGCATGCACAGGGCCTGGGGAGAATCCTTATGCACAGGCCTTGTCTATCCCACAGGAGTTTATTGAGAGCCTACTATGTGCCTGACATGTTCTAGCTGCTGAAACAGCAGCAGAGAACTACATAGATCTCTGCCTGTGGAGTTGAGCACATGAGCCCAACGTCAGGGGGTGAACCAGGTACATCGCCAGAGTGTGGCCTTGTGGACAGGGAGCTTCTGCTGGTCCCTTTAGCCTCGCTGAGCTCTGGCTCTGCTTTATCAGTTGGCACAGGGGCGGGGGGGGGGTTGTGACGTGGCATGTCAGATGGTGGTGGGCTGGAGGCCGGGTACGTGGACACTCCTTTTCAGGCAACTGTGTCTTGTCATTTTCAAAATAGCATTGGGGGATGAGGGGACCCAGTGTCAAAATGGCCAGGGTGTGCAGGGGTGTTGTGATGGGTCAGGAGAGAGGGTAGAGAGGAAACAGGAGTGGCCATGAGGGGACAGTAGTTGACACATGAGGGTGGAGGCTGCCGCCTACTTTGGTACCTGTTTGGAAATCTTTAGCGTAAAAAGCTTTGACAAAATTCCTCTCTTTGGATGAGACAGTGGGAGACCAGCTGGCCGTGGGCAGTGTGCTTGGCTCTCGTGGGGCAGATACCGGGTAGAGGGCCGTGGCCAGTGCGTGGAGGTGGAGGCGAGGGGCACCCCTCGTTTTTTTAGAACTTGGATTGTGATTATGGCAAGGTGTTATATAATGTGTGGCCCTGGAAGATTCGGCCTGTGAGTGTGGCCTGGCCTCCTGGGGACTGCTGAGGTCGAGGTGGAAGGTGAGGTGGAGGCTTACCCTGTTCCCTCCCCCAGAGCACCCAAGGTGATGACCTTGGATCTGGGCATGAGCAATGGAGGTGTCGTCTGTGAAGGGTTCCACTCATTTGTCCATCTGGGTTCCAGGCAGAAATGCGCCCTGACTACAGAGGATGAGGGTGGTGGCCCCAGAAGAACAGTGATGGCCAGGAGGGTTTATTCATTTATTTTTTGATTTTTAATATTTTGGTACTGGGGATTGAGCCCAGGGGTATTTGCCACTGAGCCACACCCCAGCCCTTTTTGTTTTTCACTTTGATTTAGTGTCTTGTTAAGTTGCTGAGGGCCTCGCTAAGTTCCTGAGGCTGGCCTCCAACTTGAAGTCCATCTGCCTCAGCCTCCCAGGTTGCCGGGATGACAGGCGTGCACATGCCCTGCTCTAGGAAGGGTTAGCTTCTCTCTGGGATACTCGGTGACCTGTGGGGGATGAAGCCACTGCCATTTGGTATAGGACGGGACATTTTCCAACTTTGAACGCAAAGTTGTTTTTTTCCTGCCGGCTGTACAGAGGAGACGTGGTCATGGTGGAGGGCTCGGGGAGAGTGGAACAAACTGGGTGTTCCTCAGAAGGGTGGTCCTTGGTAAGGAGCAGCGGGTGGACCCCGGGCTGGAAGTGGGAGGCTGCTGGCGGGCGAGCCACAGGGCCTGGCTCTTCCCTGCACAGCTCTGGTTTGTCTACTTCGACCTGGAGGACTGCGTGCAGTTTTTGTCTGACCACGTTCAGGAGATGAAGACTAACCAAGAGGTAAGCTCTCGTAACCATGCAACACCAGCAAAATAAACCAGGAGGCCAGACTGTGTAGACCACATTGCCTTAACACTGGAAAAATATCCAAGAAAAAGTACCTTAGAAAGAAGAAGCCCTGCATGAAATTCATGAAATTGGTGGTTGCTTTTCTGCTTTCTAATTTTTTTTTGGTGGGGGGGTACTGGGGATTGAACCCAGGGGCAATCCATCCCCAGTCCTTTTTAGTTTTTATTTTGAGACAGGGTAGTTTAGGGTCTCACTACATTGCTGAGCTGGCCTCAAACTTGCACTTGCAATCCTCCTACTTCAGCCTCCCAAGTCACTGGGATTACAGGTGTGTGTGCATCACCAAGCTTGGCTGAATATGTATTTCTTTATACTCAGAGTCATATTAATGATCAACTCTGGTGGATCCAAATGTAAAATGGGTTTAGGTGACTCTCACTTCTTCAAAGTGCTTTCTACCATTTATTCAGAAAATGGGGAGATCTTACTGATTCTGCAGAGGAGGAATCAGGCTCTGAGACGGCAGCCTGTCTGTAGTCATGGTCTTGTAGCCGGTGGGGGATTGAGCCTCCGGGCTCTGAGCCCTGGGCTCCTTGCCACTTTGAGGAGCAAATGAGAGCTTGGAAGGCGAGCCCTTTATAAGGCCATTAAGGGCTGGGCTCTTATGGGGAAGGAGGGGCCCTCACCATGTGACTCAGTTCCAGATACTTCTGAGGCCAGCATCGAGTCCATAGTTAGCTCATCCTCCGCTGGGTCTGCAGCTCAGGCAGCCTGCCACCTCCCAGCTCCCACCCAATTTAGGAAGCACCCACACTCCTCTCTGTTTCCTTTGCAGTCCTTGCTGAGAAGCAGACTGAGCCAGTTATATGTTGTCCTGGAGACGGGGGTGAGCCCCGCGATGGCGGAGGGCCCCGAGAGCTCGGAGGAGGCTCCTCTCCTGCCCAGCAGTCCTCGTCCTCAGGAGAGACCGCTCGTGCAGACGGAGCTCCACCAGCTTGTTCCCGAGGCTGAGCCGGAGGTAACAGGCACTGAGACTGGGGGCCATCCTCCTCCACACAGGCCGGGTGGCCGGGTAGGTGCGGATTCCGCGGGGCTCCTCTGAGTTGGTAGACTCCAAACCTTGAAGCCCGAATCTTTGAACTTTCTTTTTGCCTACCCAACACTTTAAAAAAATAATTTATAGAAATTGTTTTGTACTGGTTAGGATTTTTGGTTGTGTTTTTCAGTGTCTTGGATTTTTTTTTTTTTTTCCTGTATTGAGGATTGAGTCCAGAGGTGCTTTACCTCTGAGAGTTACTTCCCCAGTCCTTTTAGTTTGATTTAAAAAAAAAATATTTATTGTTTAGTTGTAGTTGAACACAATATCTTTATTTTTATTTATTTTTATGTGGTGCTGAGGATCAAACCCAGGGCCTTGCACATGCTAGGCGAGCGCTGAGCCACAACCCCAGTCCTTAATTCGATTTTTAAACAGGGTTTTGCTGTTTCCCAAGCTGCCCTGGAGCTTGCGATCCTCCTGCCTTAGTCTCCCAAACTGCTGGGATCCCAGGCGCGCTCTGCTGTACTCAGCTTGAATATTGGATGGTAGTTTCATGTTGACAGATTACAGCTTACTTTGTCAATACTGATCTTTAAAACATGTTTATCAATCAATTGATCAATCATCTACCCATCTGTCCTACCACCCCTCCATCTCTCTACTTAAACTGCCGTGGGATATTTGGATTTGATATGAGTCTTTGAATTCTGTTGCGGTCTAGTTCCCACAGCCCCCCAGTTCTGTGGGTCCTGCTATCCAAGCTGCCTCTTGGGTCAGGCTAAACCAGGAGCACAGACCCACTGTCAGGGAGACAAGCAGCAAGGAGTGACCTTGGGGGACATTTGGAACTTTAGGAGATGACTTTCATTTAATTTCAGCCCTAATCTTTAGGACTTCAAGGTTCAAACCAGCCCCGACTCCCCTCTTTTGCCCTGGTGGGAGTTGGAGGCCTGCCAGTAGGACTACTTCAAAGCGAAAATGATGACTGTATGAATCTTTTCACTTGGATCCTTTTTTTTTTTTAAAGAGCAGAAAAGATTCATAAGGTCACATACTTTATTGTGGCATGCGTGTTTGGGCTTAGGTACAATAGCCCATTAAACCTGGGTCTTTTAAATGATGTTTTCAAATCCATAGAAGTAAAATTTCCTGTCCTGAGTATCAGGTGTGTATGTGTGCATAGTTTTAAAGGAGCTGCTCTTGTAATTTAGCTAGGGAAAACGCAGTCACTCCCCAAGTCTCCGTATAGTCTGCACCGTCCTATTTCTGTGAGCCCAGAGTATGTAAAAGACAGATAGTTAAAATGACCTTTTCCATTTTTACAGATTTTTGTTCTGCATAAAATGCTTTAGCACACTCTCTGTGGTGGGGGTTACTTTCCCTTCTTTGATGGGCGAAGTAGGTTCTGTGAGGTCGGCTGACTCACCCAAGGTCATGGAGCAAGGGAGAATGTAGCTTAGCCAATTTTCTTGCTACAGTTCTTAGCTTCTTATGTTATTGATTCTAGACCAAATTGGTGAGAAAACCAATCCGAGTGAGTGATAGACTATTTGACATTTTCAATATTTTCAAGCACAAAGAACAAGTCAAACAGAAAGCTATCCTCTGAACTGGGTGGTTTCTGAGTTTTGTGTGTGATAATGGTGATGCTATTGATGTTGTTTATCAGGCCCTGGCTAAATGCTTTCGATCTGTTGGCTCCTGCAGCCCTCCCCCACTCAGGTGGTAGGTACGACGGTTCTCCCTGTTACTCAGGAAGACTTGGGCTCAGCAGGCGGGGCCACCGCTCAGGGTCAGTGCAGAGGGGAGGACCTGCCTTTCCCCGTGGCCTTCTTGATTGGCATGGCTGCCTTCATTCCTGACTCTAAAGGCACAAATTGCCTGGATGGAACCCGCAGCGTATTTCATTACATTTGGAGTGGACAGTGGTCTTGTGAAAGACCTTAGATATGCTCTAGGAATAAGCACGTTTCCCTCGAATCTCACCTGCTAGACTAGTGGGTGTGTTAACAGCATGCATTAATTCCAATTTTTAAAATTCTTTGAAATTCTTCAATTCTTCAAAGTACATTTTAATTGTTTTCATTTTGGTAAAGTATAGATAGTATGAAGCGCACCGTCTTAATCATTTTGAGTATACAGCTCAGTGGCTTTGATTATGTTCACGGTGTTAGCACCACCACCTCCAGAGCACCCTCGGCCCCCCATGCTGAAGCTCCACACCCATAACGCTTGCCCCCTCCTCTCCCCACAGCCCCTGGGGCCGCCGCCCTTCTGCCTTTTCTTGCTGTGAATTGACTGCTCCAGGTGCCTTATGTAGTAGAGACAGCATTTGGACATCAGCGGACCGTGTTTGTCCTTTTGGGTTAAGTCCAATTTTCATAAGCAACCTTTTAATACATTAGGAGTACTTGTATAAAGAGACCTACCAGGTGCACTGTGTGAATTGGAGACTCCTGCTCCAAAGGGAAATTTCCCCAAGTCCTCATTTTCCTCTTCTTAAGTGATCACCTTGACCTCACTTACTTTTACAGACTCATGGATATTCGAAATGGGAAGAGGGTGTGAGGGGGGTTGGTAATTTCCCTAGTGCTTTGAGGTTATGTGTACATTATTATTATTATTAATCATTATTATTATTGCAGAGGATTGACCCCAGGGCCTCATGCATGCTAAGCCCGTGTTCTACCACCAAGCCCCAGTCCCTGTGCGTTTTATCGTTCATACACATTAATTTCCCCCTTGGAGATGAGAAGCCCAGCTGCACCAGTCCCTAGCCAGGGAGCCTTTGAGCTGGGTTCTAGGCTGGGCTTGTGTCTTTGAGAGCCTCAGGTGCCAGCCCCGCCTCTTCTCTCCCAGAGAGCATCACTCCTGGGCTGGGGGCCAGAGACTCCCGCTCCCCTCCCTCAAGGTGTGTGTCCCTGTGGCCTCACTCTGCTTCTCTGCCTCTTCCAGGAAATGGCCCGACAGCTGCTGGCAGTGTTTGGTGGCTACTACATCCGACTCTTGGTGACCTCGCAGCTGCCCCAGGGAGTGGGGACACGGCACACAGACTCTCCCAGGATCCCATGCCCCTGCCAGCTCATAGAAGCCCAGGTCCTGGGCACAGGGTGTTGTCCATTCCTGGCCAGGTGACCTAGGGAAAAGATCTTCATCTGCTGTCAGGACTGAGAAGTGGAGGAGGCCTCAACAGCCCAGGATGGCCAGGGGCAAGCCCCTGGTGAGGAGAGAAGCACGGGGGCCACACCAGACGGGGTCAGTCACACGGATGCCAGGCTTGTGCCAGTGTCCCGCGCCTCACCGGCGTCCCTTGCTGACCCCTGGAGGGGCTGAAGCTGGTGGTTGTGAGCTGGTTCTGCCCCTGCTGTTCTCTGTGCGGCCTGGATGGAAGTGTGGCCGTGGCTGAAGGGCCACCCTCATTCCTTTCACCACCCAAAGAGCCCAGGAGATGTGAAGAGGACCCGTCGGGGAAAGTCTTGTGTCCAGAGCTTGGTCTCATGGTGCTCCTCTCCCCAGCCCCTTTGTGTCAGGTGGGGGAACCGAGGCTCAGGGTGGGCACTGCTCTTTGCCTCTGACCTCTGAAGTTGTGAGACTGCCTCTCTCCTCCCTGAAGAAGAGAAGCAGCTTCTCTGACTTTCCTCCATTCCTAGGTTTTCTCCCCATGTTGTCTCCACCACAGTGGCCCCTGGTTTGAGGTCTGCTAGCCTCAGGGCTCAGGACAGAAGCAGTAGACAAGGGGCAGATGACCCTCCAGCAGGAATGCCGGGAAGGGATGGGTCCTTGTGGCGGCAGGACTGGTGTCGCCTGCCCGCCACTGTGATTCACACTGCAGACACAGCACAGCTGTGTTTTCTGACACTAATGTTGAAATGTGATCAGTCACTTGTGAAATTCTGTGAAGAGTTCTGAGACCTCCGACTGACCTGCTCCCCCAAATGTTTCAAGACCACTCGTTGCACAATGCAAGTTCCCAGGCCCTGGCCTAGCATGGAAGGCTCCCAGCCCCCAAGACTCAGCTTCGGCTGTCTCTCAAAACCCTTTTATAAGTTGGAATTCCTTTCTGAACGGGCGTACCCATTCCTTTCTGTCTTGTGGACTCATGCTTTAAAACCCCGCCTTCCCGATCCCTCCTTCAGGGAGATTAGCAACAAGCCCTGTTGCTGTCTCCTTTGAATTCTTGACACAGTTGCTGCTTGGGTTGAAGTTTTATGTTGCTGATCTGGTTTTTCTGTGCATATGCCTGTTTTTTCTAGCTAGATTGTAAACTTCTCAGGGTCCCAGATGGCACCTTATACTTTTTTTGTGCATGACTTACACCTGCTAAAGAGAAAAGAAAAAAAAAAAAGAAAAGAAAACACAAAACCCTGTGGATTGATTTCTTCGCCGATTCCATACCAGATTCCTCAAATCTCTCTCCAGATTGCTGGGGGTTGAGAACCGGGTCATGATGGACCTGCTTTCTGGTCTTGGCTTCCACTTCTAGGTGTTTAACTTTTGGCAAGTTGCTTTCTTTGACTGGTCCTCAGTTTACCCCTCTGAACGGTGGGTGGATTAGGTGATTGTTCAGGGCCCTCCCAGGACCAAAGCTTGTTCTGTCTGATTTGGCTTCATCTACAGGCCGAGAGGTCCTGCCGCCCTTCTTGGCTTTGGCGTGCGGGTTCTGTATCCTGGTGTCCCTCCTCCCTGTCAGGAGGCCTGGATTCTTGTCTCCCATCTGCTGCTTCCTAGCTGTGTGACTTTGGCTAAGCCACTTACCCTCTCTTGAGTGTGATTCTACTCCTTCATCAAGTGGATCTGGTGAACCTGAAGTCTAATAATGCAGGTCACTTGCCACCTGGGAGACAAACCTGTTAGTTTTTTTCTGTGCTGGAGAAGAGGGGTCAGGTAGGTGCATAGACCCGCCCCGGGAGTGGCTGTGTTAAGTGTCTGTGTTTAGCCGTGTCCCAGGGCAGCTTTGTTCAGTGAAGCTGTTTACAAAGGTGATCACCGTCTTTCTGATCTAGTGTCACTGTGGATGTGATCAATAGAAGCCTGTACTTATCATCCCATCATAAAACCCACAAAGTATAACAACAGAATAAAAACGGGTTTGCTAAATGACAAGACAGCAGTGTCTCCACTTCAGGGTCTGTATCAGGTGGCCTTCCACCTCTCCTCTCTTTAGGGTTCTTGGTGGTCTCACCTGGTGGGTGGGGCATGCCCAGGTGTACATTTCTCCGTCAGAGACACCTGACCCCTCTTGGTTTCCTCATTTATAAACCCCTGTGATCTCTGTGTCACTGGCTCCTCCGGGTTGCTTTGAAGATCAACTAACCTACTAGGAGGGTGCCCCATCTCCGGGCTCCGTCAGGGGCCTGGTGATGCCGGAAGGTGTGACATCGTGATGTGGTAGAGAAGCCTCTCACGGCTTGCATTCCAGTGTCCCGACACTTAGGAACAGCGTCCTTCCTTTGGCGAGGTCACCTCGCTTCTTATCAGTAGGAGAGGGATGGGTCTGCCTGGCAGGTCGTCGTGAGGGTCCATGGTGAAAGATGTTAGCGCTTGCAACCTTGAGTTACCAGCTGGTGGACTCAATAAGCTGTTGCTATTTTTAAAACTCTCACTGTCTTGTATACAGTAGGTGCCTGTTGTCTGCATCAGACTTAATTACTCCAGCACCCTGGTGTCTTTTTATGTGAATAAAGATCCTCATCAGATTTATGGAACTCAGCCGTGGAAGATGGTGCACAGGAGGGGTTCAGAAGCAAGCTAGTGACTTGGGGCCAGACACCCTCTCTGCAGGCCCCACACCCCCATTTCCTCAGCTCTTGAGAGAGGTGTGTTAACAAGGGAAGTGGATGGAGGTGCTACAGCACAGACCGTGAGGCCTGGTCCCTGCTGTGTCCACAGTAAACGCTCAGCCAAAGGCGACTGACCTACTATTGATTTATTTGTTTTGTGGGTGGAACCCAGGGCCTCAAGCATGTCAAGCACTTGCTCTGCCACTGAGCAACGCCCCAGCCTCTGTGGGGGCCTTTCCTCAATGGCTGCTGGATCTTTCTTGTGTATGTAGCACAAACTTTTAATTATGTTTCTCAAATCTATATCGTTTTTTTTTTTTTTTTTCCCTTTTGGTGGTACTGGGGATCGAACCCAGGGCCTCCTGGTTCCTAGGCAAATACTCTACCTCTGTGCCACACCCCAACCCCTCAACTCTGCCTCCTTACTGATTTTGGTTTGTTGTATCAATGATCCAGAGAGGGGTAATCTTCAATTATGGTAGAATTTTTTTTTGTTTGTTTTTCCTTTTATTTCTGACAAGTTGTTTTTAAACCACGTATTTAAAAAAATGAGATATAACTTATATACCAAGGAGTGCAGTTGAGTAGTTTTTAGTGTATGTTCAAGGCCGCATAGCCATCACTGCTGTTTAATTCTAGAGTATTTTCATTGCCCCTCCTTCCAGAAAAATTCTGAATACCTCCCATACCCGCTAGCACTCCCGGCTTCCCTTTTCCTTAGCCTCTGTCATCCACTAGTGTACTTTCCTGTCCACAGATTTTCCCATGTGGACATTTTGGGTAAATGTTTATTTGTATGACAGGCCTGTGTTTCTAGCTCTCTTCATGTTTTAAGGACATCCATTTTGTTGTACGTATTGCTACTTGGTTCCTTTTTATGGCTGAGTAATAGTCCATCACGTGGGCACACCACATGGACACACCACAATCCGCTGACTAGTTGGGTTGTTGTACTTTTTGGCTATTGTGAATAATGCTGCAAAGAAAGCTTGCATACAGATTTTGTATGAACATATTTGATAACATGTTTGGTGCTGCTGTCAAGTTTTGCTCTGTTGTTACATGGTTACAAATTGAGAATCATCCCCCATAACTTGGGAATGAGTTGACTTTTTTTTTTTTTTTTAATCTTTGTGAAACTTCCCCCTTCATCCCTAGTAGAGTTTCTGCCTTATGATCTACTTTGCATTGCATGGTAGATCAGTTTTCTTTTTTCTTTCTCTTTTGAAATGATTTAACGTTTTTAGAGTGATTTTACAGCAAAGGAAGGTAAGAGATTTCCATGTACTCCCCAGCCCCACACCCGCTAGCTTCTCCATGATCAGCATCCCCTGCCAGTGATGCATATCATTGAATTTGATGAACCCACACGACACAGCGTAATCACCCAAAGTCTGTGGTTAGCTTTAGAGTTCACTCTTGGTGGTGCACATTCTGTGGGTTTGGACAAGTGTATGGTGAAATGTACCCACTGCAGCAGAAGAGGCTTTTCACTGCCCTAAAACCCCTCTGTGCTCTGCCTGTCCATCCCTTCTACCTTCTCACATCCCTAACCCAGTCGTTTTCCTATCTCCACAGTTTTGCTTTTCCAGAATGTTCTACAGTGTGGAGTCTTTTCAGATTGGCAATATTCATTTAAGGTTCCTTCATGTCTCCTCATGGCTTGATAACTCATTCTCTTTACTGGAGAATAATATTCCATTTTCTGGATGTACCTCAGTTTATCCCTTTGCTTACAAAAGGATGTCTTGGTTGCTCCCAAGTTTTGGCAATTATGAAGAAGGCCATTACCACCATCCCTGGGTGGTTTTCACTGCACACCCCACAGGAGCATGATTGTTGATTGCATAATAAGAATATGTTGAGTTTTGTAAGAAACTGCAAATCAAACAGTCTTCCAAAGTGGGTGAAGCATTTTGCAATCCTTCAGTAATGAACAAGAGTTCTCGATGCTCCACATCTGGGACAGCATTTGATGATGTCAGTCTCCTGAATATTCTGAACTTTGACCATTTTTTTTTTTTTGTGTGGTGCTGGGGATCAGAACCCAGGGCCTTGTGCATGCAAGACAAGCACTCTACCAACTGAGCATTCCCAGCCCATGGCCATTTTAATAGGTGTGTAACCATATCTTATTGTTCCATCTCCATTTTGGCATATGATGTAGAGCATCCTTTCTTCCGCTTATTTTCTATCTATAGATCTGCTTGGGTGGAGGGCCTGTTAAGATGTTTGGCCCATTTTATTAAGGGTGGTTTGTTTCATTATTGTTGAATTTTAATAATTTGTGTATTTTGGATAATAGTCCTTTATTGGATGTATCTTTTGCAAATAGTTTCTCCTAGTTTGTAGCTTATATCTCACCCTTGCTATAATTACTCAGTTGTTCTAGGAGTCTCTACATTGATGATCATGCCATCTGCAAACAGTTTTATTTCCTCTTATTCTGCATACCTCTCATTTCCTTTTCTTGTATTATTGCATTGGCTAGGACTTCTAGTACGAAGTTGAAAGTAACAGTGGGAGGGAACATCCTTGCCCTATTTTTTTTTTTGAGAGAGAGAGAGAGAGGGAGGGAGGGAGAGAGAGAGAATTTTTAAAAAAATATTTATTTTTCAGTTTTTGGCGGACACAACATCTTTGTTTATATGTGGTGCTGAGGATCGAACCCAGGCCGCACGCATGCCAGGCAAGCACGCTACCACTTGAGCCACATCCCCAGCCCCCTTGCCCTATTTTTGATCTTAGTGGTCAAGTTTCTAGTTTCTCAGTACTAAGTATATTGTTAGCTGTGTTTTTGTAAAAATTTTTTTTTATCAAGTTGAGGAAATTTTCGATTTCTAGTTTACTGAGAGGATTAGCTTTCTGTTGAGTACTGACTACATAATACACCTTTGTTCATCTTTTTACATTCAGATTGTCTACATTCTTATATTTAAGGTGTCACCCTTATAGGCACATAGGATTTCCTTTTATGGAATTGTTTTTATTTATTTATTTTCTCACAGTGCTGGGGATTGAACCCATGGCTTTTGTGCATGTTATGCGTGTGCTCTGCTACTGAGCTACACCCCAGCCCTGAGCCTTTTTTTTTTTTTTTTTTTTTTTTGGAGTATTTGCTATGCTATGTCTAAAGTAGTTACTAATTTGGGCTTAAATAATACCGTCTTACCCTCTACTTTCTATTGATTTCTGCTTTTGGTTTTTCTCTCTTGCTGACTTTTGGATTCAGATTTTTGAAACAGTTGTATTTCCTCTTGTTTGTTTATTTGTTTTGGGTGATTGGTCCTGCGTCAGCCTGTGAGGTGTATACTTCTTTTAGTGGTCACCCTAGATGACAACACCCTCCCTGACTGCTTGGCAGCATCATTGTACGTGAGGACTCCCAGCACTTCCTGGACAGAGGCCAGCCTACTCTTTCATCTTCCTGCCCGCAGTACTGTTCTTTAACAGATTCTAGTTCTTTCTGTATTGGAAATGACAGCAGACATTGCTGTTAATTCTTTCCGCAGCCACTGTTCATTAAGCTCATTATCCATGTGTCTCTATTACTCTGTTACCTTTTAAAATTACTATTTGTTTATTTCTGTACTTTCATGAACTGTCTTACATTTGTCTCTTTCTCATTCTCCTGGAATTAACTACAGAGCTTTTCTTGATTACGGTATGGTGTTTCGTGTAGTCTATTTAGAAATAGCTTTAGTATTTTCCTCCTGGTATAGATCTTACGGTGACAATTCAGTTTTTGTTTGAAAAGTCTCTATTTTTTTTTTTAATTTTTGAAAGATATTTTTGGTAAGTAAAATTTTGGTAAGTAAAAAATTCTTCAAGGATTCTGAGTCTTTTGGTAGATAAAGAATTCTCTAAGACTATTCTTTTTAAATTTTGAAATAGGGTCTCTCACCAAGTTGCAGAGGCTGGCCTCAAACTTGAGATCCTCTTGCCCCAGCCTCCTGAGTTGCTAGAATTATAGGTGAGCAGGACCACACCTAGTTTAAGACTCCTTTTTCTAATTTCCATTCTTTTGTTTGGCTCCTGTGATTTATTTTCTGTTCCGTTGATATTGCCCTTATTTGTATTTAATTGGTTGTTAATTCTGTGATTTTTTTTATGTGGTACTGAGCAGTGAACCAGTAGTGCTCTACTACTGAGCTATGTTCCCAGCCCGTTTTTTTTTTTTTTTACTTTTAATGTTTCTTTAATATATATTTTTATGTAAATTTAAAAAATTCATATATGATAGCAGAATGCATTACACTTATTACACATATAGAGCACAATTTTTCATATCTCTGTTTGTATATAAATATACTCACACCA